GCAGTAAAAAGAAACTGGGGGAAAATGCACAGAACTCCTTTTTTTCTGGGAAAAGTCATAACAGCATTCAGTTGCTTTTTCCCAGTACAGGTTTTGTAGTGTGAACTAATTCCAAGCAAATATGGTTTGATGCTGTTCATTTCTCTGTTTTGCAGTATGACTCTGGGAAATAGCCAGGTGATAAATACATAGACTAGCCATAGTTCTTGCCATCCATACAAAGTTTATTTCATTTTTCCCTCTTTGCTGGTTAAATCCCACCAGCTTATACCCATCAGTCAAGGCTTATGTGAAGTAGTGATCCAGTCAGCCTCAGGCTACGTAAAGCAGTGTTTTGGCCCTGTCTGTCTTTAGTTGTATTGTGTTACCTGTGATATTCTCCAACCAAGAGAGAATTGCAGAGCTGTTGAGAAGTGGCACAAGGGCTTGTCCCACCACAGCAGCCTGCTTCCTGAGAAGCTAGCAGTTCTAGTCAAGCTGAAAGTGAAATTTTAATATGGCCTTGGCAGTGCTCCACTGGCACATCCCCAAATTTACACTATTGTAACCAAGATCAGTGCCTGTGCCAGCATCTGTATTATATTAAAGATAAATTGGACAAGATGTGTTCATATCTGAACTAAACTCAGCAAATAAAAAATGAACTTAACAAAATAAAATCAGATGGTCTGACTCATCCTCTTTTGAGAGATCCTGATAAAATATGGCTGTTCCAGAAGCTCTGATGTGATCTTAATAAAAGATGACACTGTGAAAAAGGCGGGGGGGAAAGCACGGCAGGCGGGAAACTTGACAAAAAGAAGTTTTCACTGTGCCTGGATCCTAGCTCATATAAATGGAAATAGATGAGAAACCTCAGCTTCCTTCATTGACATATGCAGCATAAAATCACTGCATAGGCAGAACACTGTGAGCATGCCCAGTAGGTAGACACCAGACTATAATTTCTTGTTCAAAATACCAAAATGCACCAGTTTAACTGAAAGAATGAGGACATGATATGAAACAGGCATGAGCTAAAGTACAAAACAGGAGGGATGACTGGAGCCCACCTCCTCCTACTTCCAAAAAAGCCGCCTAATCATTAGCCTGGGGAGTCATGCTTTCACTCGCCTTTTCTCCTTTTCTCAGTGAATTCAAACCATTTTTCTGCACAGTGGTGCAGCTTCATGAGGAGTGGTAAAGCATTCCCAGAAAAACCTATAGTCTAATGACTAGAAGTGTGTTTGAATTCTTTCCAAAGAGGATAGAAACTGAGTGTGGATTTCCTAGTTTCTAACCGCTAGGCTGATGCAAGACAGAAATGGTGATGGCTGCATTTCCACAAGTTTTTTAAAAGAGTGAGGCCTTCAGAGAGTTTTACAAGGAACTTGGTCTGGTCAGGCTGCACTAGGCATGCTCTGAGAGCATCTCCAAAGCCCATCAAGGGGCTGCCATGTCCTGTTGTTTGATCATTACTGTGAAGGAAGGGGTCAGGCAGATGATTCCTTTTCATACCTTGATGGACGGAAGGGATGGTAGTTAAGAGGGAAAGAATATGAGCATAACAGTAAAGGTGGAATGATTTACTTCAGAACTACAGAAAGTACCTTTGGATGCCAGGTAAAGGAGCAGTCACAGCTCTATAGCCATATCCCACAGTGTCTTATTTAACTGCCTACTTGTCAAGTGTTCAGCCATATCATTTTAACAGTGAAATTCCCTCATCTATCTTATATTGCATACCTGTGTGTCATCTCTAGGGGTTGTGGCCTGACATCTGGGCCCATTCTGTCCCTGTAGCGGACAGTGTCTCCTGCTGCACACCCACCAAGCCCAGGAGCAGCAGCCAGAGTGAGACCACAAGGTACTTGAAATCATTCTACTCTACGGAAGGCAAGAATGCAGACAACACACAGGAGAGGATGCACTCTACAGAAGGGCCCCAGGTGAGATCAGATGCAGCCAGAGAATCCTAAGGATCAGTCGAATGGTTTCACATGGAACTTCCTCTCCAATGGTACTTCAAGCATTGACAGCAAAGACAATGTCCTTTAGGGCTTGAACTGAGTACACTGAATGCAGGAGTGTTCCCAGGTGAACTCTGTCAGTTCTTTATCAGTAAAGTCAAGGAAAGAGGACGATAACGCAGCAAGGCATGAGAAGACCTTTGTAATGGGGTCATTAAGATCAACCTGAAAGTACATTCACAAATATCATGACAACATTGTGGATGCTAAGTGCTATCTAAAAAATGCACTCCTGTCTAAGTGCTAGTATTAGACAAGGTGCATTCTTGTCAAATACTGTTTGGTCCAGTAATTGAAAAGGATCATTAAACATTTACTGAAAGTCAAACTGGAAACACATGGATGAATGGAGCTGTACTTGAATACCTTATAGCTGTCACTGATACCACAGATTAAGTGGCAGCATATTACAGGTTTCCAAGAGAGGAGAGACAGTCTTCACACTCACACATACATGCAGTTAAGAAAGGTAACATTGAAAGGGGACACTTTTGCATGTGTGATCATCCTCTGTGCTCTTGTCTTAGAGCACTGGATACCAAGTTGTAGCAAAGCATCAATATTTGCACTTGCACTCCATTCATACAGACACACCTACAGATTTACTTCACATGAATATTTGATATGTCAACAGATTTGATATCAAGTAGGCAGAGTTTGAATTATTTAATTGTTTTCCTATAATATTTTATTTTTATTATTTAATGAATGCTGACTTTGTGATTGGAGCTGGACAACCACAGAGTGAGCCTGAACTCCACTGTGCTCATGAGCTGACCCAATGAAGTCAGAGAATCCTAGAATGGTTTGGACTGGAAGATACCTTGAAGACCACCTACTTCCAACCCCTCTGTCCCAGGCAGGGACACCTTCCAGTAGACCAGGTTGCTCAAAATTCCATCCAAACTGGCCTTGGTTGGCCTTCATGGCTTTGAGGAATTATAGCCTCCATTAAATTCTGATGCATAATGTTATCTCAACACAATCTTCAAGATTAACCAGACTGGCACCAAACCTACAGCTGAACACTGAGATGGTCTCGTGGTAAACCATGGATCAGACTCAAACCCAGGGTCAGGGCTTCTGCAAACTCCCTTCTCTCTTCTCCTCTCCCCTTATCAACCCCTTAGCTGCAGTGGACAGAACTTTTCTCAAGATTTGATGTGGTGTATTTAAGATGTGAAAACAACAGAGGAAAAATTAAAATGTTTGTGATCCATTATGCAGAAGGCACATATTCTGCATGAAAATATTATTTACTTCAGTTTTCTATTCTAAAACTTGATTTTGTATTCAAGATTTAAGGTCTCCATGGAGGTGGAAAAACACTTTGAGACTCTGAGGCTTTGAAATGCTGAACTGCCTTGTATAAGATAAAATCGATATTTGGGAAAAAAAAGCAAAGTGGAAATTAATGTTCTTGTAATAGGTGAGTAGCTTTTACACAATTATTTCGTGGTGATAGACTTGGTTTTGATGTAGCTTAATTAGCAGAATATAAATTATATATGTTTTTTTTTAAAGATGTGCATATGTATATTACAAGATTTTTTTATTTCATTGTGGAGCAAACCATTTGATGTGGCTCTGCAAAAAGCTCTAATACACATCAAAAAGCAATCAACAAACTCTTTGAGTACATCAAGCAGGATAATTTAGATGGTTTTTAATCAGGATTATGAAAATATAATTAGGTGGTTTCATGTTGGTTGGTGAGTGCATAGGGAAAAGTGATTCTCCAAACAGAAAAATATGGATAACATTACCCAGGAGCGATGAAACAACCACACACACATGCATACACAAACCAAACAGAAAAGACTTCTGGCCTCCTTCTCTAGTAGATCAGCAGGTAACATGTTTAAACAGAATGTCATTTCCTTTAGGATGTCAGGAAGATTCTTATTTAACAGACAGATTACACAGAAGGAGCTTTGGAAAAATGCCCCTTTTTAATGTGTTTGAAATCATTAGTCTGCAGTTTAATAAAATAAAAATCCTCTTTTCAGAATTTAGTCAATGAGCAGAAGATGCACTTTGGGTCTAATCAAACAAGAGTTTTACTGAAGGAAACAAGAGAGTGCTTTAACTATATCCGGGCCTCTAGTACCAGAGCAAATACCACTTCTATTTGCATGGTATTCAGGTGAAGCCTCCTCTCTTCAACCACTGTAAATGCCTGCCATTCCTTAATTCCAAGAAATGCTGACTAAAAACTCCTTTCTTAAGAGCTGCCACATCTAAACAACCTCATCTTTGCAGGTTCTCTTTTCACCTTCTCATTGCTAAAAGCTTTCCTGTGCTTTCAGTTCTTTTTGATGTGCTGATCCTGATCTCTGTTTCCCAAAACTTAGATTTTCTTTACAATCACCTTTTCTTGATTAATCCAGAACACTGTGTGCCATGTGTACCCACTTACACCAAAGTATCTTAAATATTTGAAGTGTTTTTCTCGAGCTCTTTAGTTTTATGTGCTAACATTACATTTCTGGTTGTCTGTGAGCACTGAGCAGATGTTCTCACTATTCATAGATCCATCTCCTGGCTGGATGTAGATAATCCATAACCCCACAGTACCCTCAGAACATGCCTGTCTGTACATAATCCTCACACCAGTACTCCCTCTGTCACGTTCTTTCCTTATGTGACTGGTTCTGGCAAAACAAGGTTACCCTTGTCAGCTTGCCAATACATTAAAGAATTAGAAAGACACATTTTTTGCTTTTTTGCTGTAGTGAAAACTGTGTAGTTTGTCCTACTCTTCTTTGTCTCTCCTCACTGGGTCCTATTTCTTGTGCCGAGAGAGTGATTATCACTGTAGTGATGGCTGGAGATATCTCAATAATCTACCATCTCATGTGGATCCCTAACACATACTCTCTACATACCAAAGGCTAGATCTGCTTTTAGTGACTTAGAGGAAATTCATTTCATACTGTTACTGAGGTAAAAAAAAATACTTCAGATGCTTTTTAAGCACTCTGATTTTTTATTTTTTTTTTTAATTAGATACATAGTTTTGATAGGAATCCTATAGAATCATGTATTGGGGGGGAAAAATGGCAAGTTTGTGTATGTCTGAAAGTGCTTTGGGGGTTTTTGTCAGCTAAGCATTCATTACCAATGTGTCCTTAGAGGGTCTTAGGAAAGAAAATACCACCTTCAAGTCAGTCGGTCTGAAGTCAAAAGTAAAATACTTATGTGCTGAAATAGCACTCACAAAACACAGCACAGGTGAAAGAAGTTTGGTTTTTTTAAGACTAAATGAAAGAGCAATTAAGTGCCCTTTAATTTAACGGGAAAAGAAACAATAGAACTCAATGCCCAGAGCATGGCTCAGCTTCGCAATGCAAAAGCAAAAAGAGCAGGAGCAGAGAGCAGACCCAGCAGTTCTCCTGGGTGAAGTTGCGAGTGAAACAGCTGGGGGGCTTGCATGTTGCAGGTGAATGTGTGAAGGAATGAAAAATAATGAGAAAAGAGAAGACATTGGGAAAGCCACCTGCAGGAGTGGAATGGTGCACTGTCAGAGGGTAAAACAAAAATACAGTTCTTCTTGGCTGAGTGCTCCCTAAAAAAAGACTTATACTTCCAAACATAGAACTACTTTGCTTGCTTCTGCCTTGCTGTAATAGCACTTTGCTGTAATAAGAACCTCTGGAAATAAACAGGGCCTTTCCCAAAGAAATCCTGGGTTCCTATCATCCTCTTCCATTCCTAATGCAACAAAGCCAGCAAGGCCCAGGTTTTGGATAGCTACTTGCACCATGGGGACAAAAAAACTAGCTGGCATCAAAGCCTGTGCTGCACAGATTAGATCTTCTTATCAAGAGTTAGAGAGATGAAGAACTATTGCGCTCTGCCCAGAAGGATGGGTTCCATGCCTTCCCATGTGCTGTTGCAGGCAGCATTGCTTTCTTCCCTTTGGAAGACTGTTAAAAACTCTGGCCTGATCTGTTACTGCTGAAGTGAATGGGAGTTTTGCCATTGACTTCAAGGAGACAAGAAGCGAATCAGGCCCTCTGCTTGCAAATCCAGTCTTTATAGTCCTTTCCAGATACTAAATAAAACTGTGCTTGGAAGTAATTTGAATGCCAGCAAGCTGGCCCAATTTGCCATGGATTTCAAAGATGCCCAACAATCTAACATTTATTAGGATACAAATAAAGTGTCTTCTTCACAGTGCAATTGCAATTTCCTTCCCAGTAAAAATATAAACGTGCCTTATGTGCAAACAATTTTAGCATTTCTGTTTTTATGCCATTTTACTGACAAGAAGCTCCCAGCTGTTATAATTTGTCTCATCCTTCTCTCTCTTGTAGAACCAGCCTTTGTTCCTTTTTGCAGTGCCAGGGACTTGCTGAGCTCCACCTGATGTGATTTGTCCAGGCATTAATAATGCATCTTCAAGATGCAAGATGCATGAATTCCTTTAGTAACAGATCCGCCGGCAGACTGCCGCACCGTATTGTGCCGCTTTCCCGAGATGGGGGAGGCAAGAGGGCCACACAAGCATCATGTACCCGTGCAGGTCACCCGGCTTGGCAGAGAGGGGGCTCCTGTTATTACGAGGGGGTAACTACATCCTCACGACGAGGTCAGGCTGAGGATAATGAACATTACAGTAGACGTTCCTCCAGCAGGCAGGTCCTTACCCGCCACCCAAGGAATCCCTGTGGAACGACCTGAGGTGTCCACACTGACAGTGACTTTAGGAGAAGTGGCAAGCAGGGGTCGAGTGCTGCCCCGCTGGCGAGTGCTGTCCCTAAACATCACCAAACCAAGCCATCTTTGCCTCCGAGCGCTCCTCAGCCTCCTCTCCCTTCAGGACGGCAGGAGAGCTCGGCACCCGGACGATGCGCTTTATGGACGCTGTGTGCTGGAGGGGGAGGCTCTCCCTCAGCAGACACCGCACACGCCTGCTCCTCACCCATTCCCGGGGAACGCGGAGGGATCTGACGGCCTTCCGCACCAAATGGTCTCAGTGCCGCTTTCCCCGTGCGCGAGTGTGTACGTGTGTGTGTGTATACCTATATCTATATCTATTTATCTCCTTTAATCGATACGACCGCTCGCAGAGCCGCGCTCCCGCACAGCGCCTCGGCTCTGCCGGTGTAGCCATGACAACGGCTCCGGCTGCCGGCGTGGGNCCGGTACTGCTCCGGCACCGCCCCGGCCCCGCCAGCACTGTCCCGGCACTGCCCCGGTCCCGGCAGCACAGCCCCGGTGCTGCCGGCACAGCCTGGGCCCCATCGCGTGGACACATCGCCTGTGCAGGTGCTCTGAATGTCTCCGCGTGTCTGTGTCCCCCCAGGACTCGCAGGTGTTGCTGTCAGTGATCCTCAAGGCTACAGACCGCAGGCTCAGCCCTGCCTTCTGCGGCTGTGACTGTGTGTACCCACAAGTAGGTACATTCTCTGCACAGAGGGGCCTGGGAGTCCTGCTAGACAACGAGCTGTCCAAGACCAATACTGGGATGTATTAGGAAGAGCATTGACAGCAGATTGAAGGAGATGATCCTGCCCCTCTACTGAGACCTGGTAAGGCCACATCTGCAATGCTGGAATGCTGTGTTCAGTTCTAGGATCCCCAGTACAAGAGAGACATGGAACTCCTGAGTCCAACAGGAGGCAACTGGGGTGGCTGGGGGAGACTGCAGTATCTCTCTTAAAAGGAGAGGCTGAGGCAGCTGGGCCTCTTCAGCCTCAAAAAGAGACAAGTCAGAGGGGATCTCATCAACGTGTATGAATATCTAAAGGAAGGGTATCAAGAAAATGTAGCTAGGCTCTTCTCAGTGGTGGCAAGCAATAGGATACAAGGCAGTGGGCAGAAACTGATGAATATGGATTTCTAGCTGAATATGAGGAAGAACTTTACTGTGTGAATGACCATGTACTGAAACAGATTGCCAAGAGAGGTTGTGGAGTCTCTCTCACTGAGATACTCAAGAATCATCTGGATGTAATCCTGTGCCATGTGCTCTAGGATGACCCTGCTTGAGCAGAAAGGTTAGAGCAGATGACCCATTGCAGTCCTTTTCAACTTTATCCATCCTGTCATTCTGTGATACACACACAAGCAACCCATTTCCAAAACATTTCTGGTAATGTTCCCAGCTTTCTCACTGGTGGTCAGACATCACTGATGTTCTCGAGGGGGAGGAGATCCTTCCCTAAAGTCCTTGGCCATCAGCAAGAGAACCGTAAAGCAGGTCAGTATGAATGCAGTCAACACTTACAGCCAAAAATTTTCATCAAAATTTTCCATCAAAAGCCACCAAAGCTGATGCAGGCAAGCCTGGCACACCTGTTTTGGTGTGGGCTGTGGATTGATGGATGTCGGTCATATCCCCTCCACACACAAGCACCTTCAAGTCTAGTGGGCTTTACTTACTGTGACACTTTCCTCCGTTCGATGGGCTTTTGAACATTTCAGGAAAAGATATACAGCTTCTTTTCACGTTCACATAATCACAGCATGGGTCAGATTGAAAGAAAACATAGTGGGTCACCTGGTCCAACCTCTCTGTTCAAGCAGGGTCAGCCTAAGAGCACATTGCACAGGCTGTGTCCAGATGGTTTTTCAGTGAGGGAGACACCACAACCTCTCTGGGCAATCTGTTCCAGTGCACAATCCTCCACACAGTAAAGATCTTCCGCAAGTTCAGGTAGAGCTTCCTGTGCATCAGTTTCTGCCCATTGCCTCTTGTCCTATTGATTGGCACCACCACTGCCTCCACCCTTTTGACACCAACCCTTTACATACTTACCCACATTGATGTTGTCCCCCTCTCAGTTATCTCTTTTCAAGGCTGAACAGGCAATTTTTCTTTTTACATTTCTAAAATCACATTGCCATATTGTGTTTCTTTTTAAATAAAGGCCTTCTCCTAGGCTGTCAATTGGGAAGAATATAAAAAATTTACCCAGGTGTCTCTGAGACCAGTGAGGCACCAACAGGTAGGGGAATAATGGGAAAGATAAGAAAGGAGGACAGTCTCTCAGAGGATCAGTTTTAAGAATCCAAGGAAGACAAAAATGGAGCAATGCCCTCCACTCCTTTAATTGGACAATAATTTTTCCATTTTATCCACAGTGAACTTTATGGGATTCTTTTTTATTTGAGTCAGAATATTTCTGTTGCTTTCAGTAGGAGTTCTTCAGGGTTTTTGCATACACATAGTAGAAAAAATGTTTGTTCATAAATTTATATTAAAAAAGACAGTGAAACAAATACTCCTGTGAATTTTGTTTCCAAAAAGCTTCCAAACTGTCTGCAGAAGTCATCTCAAAATCACTTTATATTTTTGAAGACTATGCACCTAGAGACCAGAAACAATAGACTGGGATTCTACTGATCCTTCGTGTACAAACTGAATTACAGCTCACAAAAGCTCTGATACACCATCCTGTCTGTAAGCAATACATAGGCTAAAACATATTCAGATTAACAAGTCACGGAAGAATTTATACAGAGAATAAAATTAATAGAAATTAAAATGTGGTCGTTGATCAACCACAATTAGGAAACCAAGCTAAATTCAACAAATCAGCTGTTTGCAACTAATAGTTTTCCTAGGTCTCATGATAAATGTGGGTAAATGTTGACTTACTAATTATGACAACAAAACTGAAAAGAGAGCTGAGAAATCAAAATTAACTAGTGCCTTTCCTGAATTAGTGTCAGAATGTGTTCACAGAGGTCTGGAGCGTTGCCGTGAAATGTTCCAAGTTCACAGGCTGGGCTTTTCTCAATACATGATTTGTAAAAGTCTGCAAAATCTTGATTTTCTTCCTTATAAGAAAAGATATAAGGAAAGAAAAAGGCATCATTTTTTAATATTAAAATTTGACTGAGTTCTGGGCAACTGAAAAAAGGTTGCATGCTGCAAGGTATCAAGCAGTCTTTCTAGCTCCATCATTTACTGCATTTTGAAGAGAAGAAATGTACCAGGCTCCTGTGAGTGGTGAGCTGGCCTTGCAGACCCTCCAGCATAGCAAAGGAAAAGAAGCTTCCCACCAGGAGAGGCAAGGAAACAGCCAAAATATTACCTGACAGATCTGGCCTTGCATCAGGCTGGCCGCAGAAATTATCAGAGGCAATATTAAGTTCCCTACCCTCAGCTTCCACCTTCTTAGTTTTAAGGGGATTTCTACACATGCCAAGGAATGTTTCATCAATCTGCACCACACTAGATCCACTGCAAGAATTTTGTGTAAGGAAATCTAGTTATTTTAAGTGCAAAATACAATTTGAATGTCCCCTCTGTTCCACATGATTTTCTTCTAGTTGTGCCAGGAGGCTGGAAAGGATACTGCAGTTTTCCTCATGTTAATTCTGGCAATATTTTATTTGAAAAACTTTGTTAAAAGAATCCTTTAAAACTGAGTGAAAGGATGGAACGTGCCTTGTGATGTTCCTGTGTCACATATATGACTATTCTGAAAACAGACTTCCTATTGTGTCAAGACTGGAGATTTTGAGATATTTTCTTCCCATATACTCAGATCTTCAAAATTTTGCATGAACTGCTATTCCAAGAACAACCCAATATGGATAAAGCTGAGAATTTTACTGTGATGTTTTTTTTAAAAGATTTATTTTGACTTCAGTTTTCATTAAACTTCAGTAGCCCTAATTTACTGGCACTTCAATTAAGCGGAATGGTTTGTTATTCATTACACTTTCTTCCCAAAAACATTTTGCATAACAATAATTCACTGAAGTTCTTGCTTTGTGAACCCTTCTGGCTTTAATGATTTCTAGTTTTCAAATTTTTCAGAGCAGGGCCTTCCTAGAATTGCCAAAATTATCTGTTTCCTACAATTTTCTGTGATCCTTATCATCACAATCAGATTTTGATTGAGACCCATCAAATATTTCTCAGACAAATGTCATGTTAAATAACCCCTTTCCTCTCTTACAGAGGAGGTTTGATTAGTTCTCAACTAGCAACACCATTTGCAAAATCTGTTTCTCAGGAGTGGTGAGCTCAAGGTGAAGTAGCAAAAGGACTTCACGGGGCACTAGATGGGGACAGCCTCACAGGAGCCAAAAACACAGCACAGCACTGACCTTGGCCAGTAGCTCCCTGGTCAGGGAGCACAGAGTGGGTAAAGAGAACAAGTCTTTCGGGTGCGGCTGAAGGAACTGGGGTTGTTTAGCCTGAAGAAAAGGAGGCTTAGAGAAGACCTTATCACTTATCACTCTCTACAACAACCTGAAAGGAGGTTGTAGCAAGGTAGGTATCTGTCTCTTCTCCAGAGAAGTAACTGACAGGACAAGAAGAAATGCCCTCAAGTTGTGCCAGGGGAAGTTTAGATCGGATGATTGGAAAAAAGAGCTGTCAAGCATTGGAACAGGCAGCTAGGAAGTGGCTGAGTCACCATCTCTGGAGGTGCTTATAAGAAGAGTAGCTGTAGCACTTAAAAACATGATATGGTGGAGTTGGCACTGCTGGGTTAATGGTTGGACTCAACCTTAGAGGTCTTTCCCAGCCTGAAAGATTCTATGGTTCTATGATTTCAAGACTTCTGTGTGCTCTATATTCCCCCTTCCCTCGCACACCTCTTGAAGAGTTGGACATTACTGTTGTTGAAGCATAACCCCATGAATGCCGAGACATGAGAAGGCACACCACCTCGCCTCTGGATGTTGTGCTATTGACAGTCACGGGAATGACCGGGAGGGTAAGCACTGCTAAACTCAAACACATCAGGAGCTGGGAAGAACGCCTGATTACAGCTGCCTGCACCAGGTCCCAGCGGTAGCAGAACTGATGCATTCAGGCAAGGTGATACAGGTCATTGTTGCTGGGGTAGCGAGGGAAAGATAAGAAAGTGAGAAGAGAAGAGCATCTCTGCCTTGCTGCTCAGGCCCGTCAGGCAGATAAACCACACACGTGCATGCAGCCAAGAGAGCCTGACTAGCCCCAGTGGAGGTGGTTCCTTGACATCCCTGAGGCAGCCCAGGCCATGGCAGAGGATTCAACCATCGAGGAAGCAGCTGGCCTTAGCAGGCAAAAAAAAAAACAAACACAAAAACAAACCCAAAACAGAAGAGAGCCAGAGGCAACAGCAGTGGAAGAGGAGGGGGAACTGGTCTAAGAGCTGTTTATTCAGAGACACTACCGCTGCTCCTTACAACCCACCACAAATACAGTCCTACAATCCTATACCTACAATTTTTGTAGGTATATGCATTTTATAGTAAAAAATTATAGAGCTTTAATGTTTCCTTAACTGCTCTCATCTATAAATATTAGTAGTCAGACTGTCTCTTGTATATACACAATTTCATAACAATAGAGTGTATCCCAGCTTTGCAAAGCCCTAGTCATCTATTTGCCTAGGGTGAATAATCTCGTATGAGAGACAAGAAGAATTCATACTTTCTTTCTCAACATCTCAACAAAGAAACAGGGAGATTTGGGGACTCGCTGTGGTAAATGTTCAAGATTTCAAGAAACTCACATTTCAATATTCTAATGATCTCCTGAAGGTTACCCTGTGATAGCTTTTTGTTTGTTTGTTTATTCATTTGGGGTTTACATCATTATGTAGCCTGGTATGATATAATTTTCTTTGCATCAAAGAATATCAAACTAGAGTATGTACAAAAGAGGTAATGGTAACTGTTTCTGCTGGCACTATTTAGTGCTTTAACCAAATTCTGCTTTATACTCTGCAAGGATTTTAATCACTGCACTATTAGATGAAAGGAGAGAAGAGGTAGTTCCCCCTTTTCTCCCCTTCCCTCTAATCTTCATCACAGGTAGCAGCAGCAGCAGCAGCATTCCACTTGGAGGCTGAGAAAACCTTTTATTTGTGGCTTTCAGAAAAGATTAGACTGACACAGAAGCCAAACTTTGCCAAGGTTGTTAAAGGTGTTCAGAGAACATGAACTCTAGAAATCCACTATAAGGTGGATCTTAAGCACCTCCAGACATATTCAGGAGTTTGAGGGTCACAAGTCTAAACTTGGGCATCTGCAGGTAGATTAAGACCAGTATTAGGTACCTGACCTTTTCTTTTGCACCTAAACCCAAAGTCCATTTTAAAGGGTACAGAATACAACCCCATGGCTTTGACCTTGACCCAGATTTAATAACTTGCACACTGGAAAACATTTGTTCTTATGCCGAAATTCATCATCTCTGCAATTACAGTGATGCCACTGCCATGCTTTGAATGGGTTTGCTAGAATTAAGTCTCTACTTCAGAGAAAAAACCGAGTTTTACCTGGTTTTGCTGCCAAAGCAAATTCGTTGTTTAACTGACTCCTTGGTACCTTCAATTGTTAAGCTGCTTGAGAAAAAAATTATTCATTGTCCCTGAACTGATGTGGTGATTGTTTCAACAGCCTTTTCAGAAGCCTCACCACCCTGCTGTCTCTAGGCTCAGATCAGCAAGGCAGTCAAGCACATACTTTCCTTCAGGTATGTACTTAGTCCCCTTAACTTGCTGCTTTCACAGCAGGTTAGAAAAGCGAAGCACATACTTAAACGTAGGCATACACTTACCTTTCCCCTTCCTTATTACAGCACTCAGAACTAGTGAAGAACCCTAACTGTAGCCAAATTCTTGTTTCTACTAATTCTGAAAACAAGCACAAATGTTTACTTAAAATATTAATATGCTTACCATATCTTATCTTTGACATAATTGCTTTAATTAAAGGAATTTATAAAAACTAACGTTACGCCTACGTGCCCTTGCAGTAACGTGTAAGAATAATGGAATTTAGAGTGGCTGATTTATTAATCTTAAAATATGTACTTGGAGGGAAACAGGTAAAATTGTAAATTGGGGAGAAATACATGTGAATATTGGGATTTATAATTTAGTTTGGGATGAGCTGTGTTTATGCATTTATAGGTTTACACTATCTGATTAGATTTAAACATTTTTTTTCATGTTTATAATCTCTAAAATAGAAAAATAAATATAAAACATGTAACTTTACTACTTCTGATAGAAATTTTTAGATTGTATCGACCTTTGATGTGGACAAAATTTACATGGCAAACATTACTAAGATCTTTTATGATATGTGTACACCAATGGTAATATTATATACTTCATAAACTTGTGTAACCAACCCCAGTCTACTATGCTGTCCCTACACACATTGCACATGCCATTCTCCAATGTATTTCCTTCTCTGCTCCCCAGAAAACTTCCTTCCATCTGTCTCCAGTGCCTTGAAGTAAGGTGAAGTCTTCATTGACCTCTTCATAGCCATTTCTGCCCTCCTTAATCTGAGAACACCTTCAGATATAATTCCCCTAACTTTTTCTAAAAACCTGATTCTCCTTTGGCTTCTCTGTCTCCTTCTACCTGTCCTTCTGCCTCTGTAATTTCTTTTTTTATGTCCTAGTGCTTTGCAGTTACCACTGGCCATGTTATCCAACACCACCTCACTGGTTACTTTTACTTTTACTTTCTGCCAGCATCCTTCAGTCATCTCCTGGTTAAGTGTATTGCAAACACATGGAAAGAACGATCTTTGTCTTCCACTTTAATACAACACTCAGTACTGGTCTGAATTCTAAAAAGTACATGTTAATGTCTGGCTCCTGTGACATAGGAACTACCTGAAGCTAAGGGTATATTTTACTTGCTAATTTGTTTAAACAGTTGTTAAAGGAATGGCAATGTATTGTTTACACGTATTTGTTTCATGTCTTCTTTATGACACTGCCCTATCTAATGTGATTATGCAGCAAAATAAACAATGTCAAATCATGACTTCTTTGTAGGGAAGTCTAGTCTCTTAGACTACAAGTCTGGCATACTAGCCAAAAGCATACATAATTTAAAAGGCACTTTCAATACTGCCAGAAAAAATTGTGTGAAATATTGGTGAGCTTGAAGAGAAGAAACTACACAGAAGTTAAGTTGCATAAGAAGATCTTTTTCCCAACTATGATGCTACTAAAAAATAAATCACCTTTTTTTTTCTTGTGCATATATTCACATCAGTGATGTGGTACAGCTCACAGACTAGAAGAGACCCCATGTCAAGAATGTGTTTGTGTCCCCACCCATTTGGAAAAGCACACAATCAATCAGTGCAAGAAATACAGTTATGTACCCTGAGTAGGAATGCTGAGATGTTCAAAGTTAGTCAAGCTCACCATACAGGTCATCTTTTTTGATACAGATGTTCCCACCCAACCATCTTCACTCCTTACCAGCATGCTCAGCCAGGTGAAGAGATACTAAACCAGCAAGAGCTGAATAAGACACAAAGAGGAGTGCAACTTTCAACCTTGAGTTAGCCTAAACATAATTTTACAAAACAAAACAAAAACTGCACATAGAAATTTAATTTGACAATTACAGATTTTGAGTTTAGAGAACATTTTACTGTTGCTTATTTCTGCCCTTGCCTGTGAGTTCTGAACCAGGGTTCATAAGGTCATTAATTCTAATAGCAATGGGAAAGCAGAAGAAAGAGATACATCATGGCATGAAACAAAAATCTGAAAAGCAAGAGTGATTTAATGTTTGAATCCAATCTCCTTTCTATTATATTAGGGAATTTGAGATGTGCTTTTTTAATCTTATCTTCTTGGATTTTTTTTTTTTTTCCACAGGAAAACTTCCCCATAAATTCACAAAACGTTCTGGCACTTGGTATGGTTTTACACCCTGAGAATTTATTATTCATGAAATAGGTCTTTTGAAGTACAATTTCTAAGTACTGATGTTTTATCTTTAAGCAGTGAACATGAGCAGAGGCTTAAAGGCCCACTGACAATCACTCAGGAATAACTCAACTGCTCATGTCTAGGCGAGGTCTTCCCCACACAGGGAACCTTTTGTAAATATTAGTTACTAGAATCACAACACTAATATATGTAGTTAATAATTATCACAATGTGCCAAAACTGCACAGTTTGCTCCCTGATTACAATATTAAATTGCTATTGAGCTGTGGTATTTGCTTCAGGCAATACTACTGAGAAGCCTCCAAAGACTTTGGTTGGCCTCCCTGCACGAGCTTGGGAAATGCATGCCTGCACAGAAAGCAGAGACAGTGCTGGGGTTTGCCAGAAAACAAACAAACCTCAGACAATAGAAGGAAAGTTTTATCAGAGCTGAAGTGTCCTTTCACTTGGGAACTGTCATCTCATGAAAGTAAAATTCACACACACACTGATTAGGGCTTCTGTGGCAGACCATTACCAAGAGCGAGGTGATTCAAGCTGTGTGTGGTGCATCCTGTACAAACAGTTCTGAAAGCTTTGTTTTTTTAGTTGCTTTTGATGGTATCTAAAAAGCAGCTAATCCACTTCAGAAAATTCCAGAGGTTCTGCCTGACATGTTTGTGTTCATCTATCAATGGGTGTTTTCTGCTGATACTTTTGTCAGCTGTCCTGCAGATGAAGTAGTTTGGGATGGCCAATGGGAAGTACTGTTGCTGGTACCATCTTGATCATGCATTCAAAATCATAATGGGTCTAAACACAAACCCTAATCTTCAGCTTCAGGTCTTGATTCTTTATCTTTCTAAATCCAAGAACCAAATTGCCCAATTTGCAGAGTCTCCAGTTGAATATAAAATTAAAAAATTGTTCAATCTCCTTAGATTTTGGGCATTTGGACTAGTATCAACCTTCAGACAAGCTTAGGAAAGGGTCTGAAAGGTACAGTGGTGTCTGAGCCCAGATCAGTCATAGATTAAGGTTTCTGCTGGAGAACAAGAATCGGAAAATGCCTCTGCACTGTCGTATAACTAGTGCTCAGTAATCTGCTAGGTAAATGTAGTCCTTATTTGGTGGGAGGAGAAGGTGTGACAAGTCTATCAGAAGCAAAGTTTCAGGCTCAGGATTTCAGACTCAGGATTCTTTGCCTGTCATCAAAGATGACTTCTCTGTCATTTTTCTAAAGTGAATGCATTCAATGTTTACTGAAGTTATGAAGACAGCTTAGCCAGGATTGCAGTTTATTAGGGTGTCGGTAGGAGTAGCCCAGGAATGTGATTTGCAGGTACAGGTTCCAATCCTTGCACTTAGAAAAGGCTGTTGAAAGAGAGAATGCAGGCTTTTGACTCCTTCTATAAAGCAAAGCCAGGTGTTTGCACTTGGAAAGTGCAGGTGCAAGTTCATGTACTCAAGTTTATCAGGCCCAAGTTGAAACTGCATCCCTTATGAGATCATAGGCTATTGTCCAGCTTCTGCATCATTAAGGCATGCTATTCATGTAGGTTTTGGGACATAGTCTTGATATCACTGTGCTGGATTTTCTAACCTAGATTTTGGTGAGCTTTATGGTTTTTTTTTTTACAGAGCTATGTGAGTTACATGGGGCAAAGCTTCCATGCTCCTTCAGAAAACATATGTTAAATTGAAATAGTAGTAATATTATAACCCCTAGAAGGAGAAGTGAAGAAAAAAGAACACATGTTTGCTGGCTGCTTGCCTGAAACCATGAATAGGTACTGTGCATAGTATTTCATTTCAGCATTTGAAACTTACCTCTGATGTTTCCTCAGAGAAGGAAGCACTACTTGTCCTTTTTATTTATGTACTTGCTGAATTGCAGAATGTATGATTCAGGTCTCACCTATCTGCCTTATACCATGGGCCTCTTGTCCAGAATGAAATGCCATTCTTAAATTAAATCACAAAGGTGTTAAAAAGGAAAGGAAAATTTTGTCTCTAGACTGTTTTCAGGGTTCTTCTGAAGCCCAAACATAAAACCAAATTGAAAGAAGCTGTTGTGCCATTAAATCTATCCTGCTATGAGCTTCTGCTTGTTCCCTAGTACCTATTTTATGGGACATTATAGTGCCCTATTTTAAATGTTCCAAGCAAAAATTGTATCTATGTGTTCTTTTGGTTCACACACCAAACTCAGAATAAGGTAGATACTGTCTTTTTCTTCTCATTCTCTCTTGCCAGGAACAGCTGAGATATTTTATAGCCTGTCAACAACCCCTCTTCAAGAATAACCTGAGAAAGCAGGTAGGCTATTACACAAGTAACAAGGGTCTACTCTCTTTCTTCCAGTTTCTTCTTCTAAGACAGCTAACACAGAAAAAGATCAAGGATTGTCGTAAAAAAACAAAAAGCAGAGAACTACCTGGTGTTATCAGTTACATTGGCAGGTACAATTAATTATTTATGCAGTACCATGGGTAAAGCAGCAGACAGGTCAGGTTCTTGAATCTGCTGTCTGTGGGTGTTTTGCTGATGTATGTCAGCTTCATTCTTGGTCAAGTATTGTGGCCCCATCCTGCTGCTGACTGTATCTGTCTTTTATTTGTGAATTTCCACCAAAGAAAAGGCAGACAGCTGGCAGGAAAACAGCTTCTCAAATAGCATGTATGTGTTCTGTTGATTCTGGATTGTACAATAATTTTAATCTGATCTTTCAGCCTTAATTCTGGACAAAAAGTATTGGATTTGAAACTGTAAAAGCTAGAATAACTGTATTTAGTATGTATCATTTCCAAAGCAAAACTAGAAATCTGAAATCTTTATAAAGGCCAAAATTAAGAGAAAGAGACAAGCTGGGTTGGTAGTATTTTGTAGCTTTATATAAAAGTTGTTGGTATGGTTTTTTTCATAGCTTTTCTTTTTCTCGTCCTTTCTGTTATACCTGCCTCTTCCACTTCTCACCAAATTTAGAGAATATCTCATCCATACCCTTAAAACTCTCATTCTGTATTTCATAATCACCCCTTAGCACTGCAAGCATGGACTCAAATGGGCTGTGACTTTCCTCTCTGCTCCTCCTAGTGAAGATCTGCCATCAGTGCTGACAAGCTGCAGCAGCCTCTCTGGTTGCACAGAACATCTCACTGACAAAATACCCCATCAGCCAATATTAGTCTGAAGAGTGTGTCTCTCCCCAAAAGCCCTATGTCGTCACCACAAGTTGCAATGTGAAAGCCCTACCATCAGGGCATCAGTCAAAATTTATTCTCAGGCTGGCCTCACATGTTAACTTATCACCAAACTAAACTCTTTGCTGAAAGGCTGGAGCTTATATTCACAGAGGGTGAAAATTGGTTCCACTGGGAAAGCTTCAAAGTCATTTCAGCCATTAAACTGTGGCTGGATGTATCATAAGTACAGGAGAGGTCGAGGCACTGCCTGTGAACCAGGGGACTTTGTGAAGAAGCTCCTGCTGAAATTGGCAGCTCAATTTTGTATTCTGTTTCAGTCCGACTCTGCAGCAGGAGCAAGTCGCGTTTGTACATGAGACTCATTATGCTTCCCCTGTTTAACATACCAATTACTTTCTGTATTTACCATGTTTAGAGCGACTTCATGTCAAAAATTAATAATGCTAAAATAAAGAGCTGTGCTGATGTACAAAGAGAAGCATGGCAAACTATTAGAATGTATAATGGAAACAGAGGATGGATTTGCAGCTGTGGGGATCACATCCAGATGAATTTCACAGTGTGCCATGGAGGGGTCCCACAGAGGCTCCTGTGCTCTTTAAGGCACACTTCAGACTGTGATAAGTGTATACCTTGAGAGGTCACAGTGCCTAAGTAATTTCACCTTGTAAGTGGTGCAAATATGTTGTGGTGCCAGTCAGTCCCTCTAAGAGCTTCACTCCTCCAAATTTCCTGGCTTTCTCTTCACATTGGACAGAAGTGTTTACAGAACAGTAATTAAGTCTGGGGGACAAGAGGTTTTTGTGTTTTTAAACTGGCCTTTGTACAAGCTTGGGCAACTGAAGAAACTCTGATTCATCCTTGCTGGTCCTGGGAAAATTGTACTAACAGAAGATGTCTGATCTTCAAAACTCAGGAGTCCACTAAGGATTTTACCTAGATTCCCCAGAGAATCTGACAACTCCATTGTATTGACCCTTCCTTACAAGTTTTGAATTCAACATCTCTGTGGTACTGGGGTTTGAAATCCTGTCAGAGTCTCTAGTAGACATGGACAAGCTGTCATGCACTGAGGAATATTTTCTTCCTCCTGTTGATCAACGTAGGCAACAGATTGGCCAACCTCCTAACGGGAAACAACAGTAAGAAGATTATTGATTAGTGGTGTTTGAACAGTTGTCATTAATGAAGATCATAAAAGCAGTGACAATATTTGTAATAATAACAGATGGGAAGTTTATATTTTCATTAAAAAAGAGCCTCTGCTTATGAAGACCTCAATAAACAACAAGTAAACAGGCATGCCTTGTTATTTGTTACCTCCAGTTTCAGTGGAGCACCTGCTCTAGGCTGGTATGGGAAAGATGTTGACTTCTGAATCACTTTACTCACAGTCTGTGATTCCTTTCTGAGGAACAGTGTGAGGGAGAAAGGGGAGAAGCTCTGACTCTGCCTATTAGCTTCAGCAGTAATGGATAGTGTTTTATGGTTTTCCTGTTTTTCTAGCTTTGGAAAGCTAATCCATACCTAGGCAAACAAGTTGTTTTTACAATAAGAATACACTCAGTTCTCAGAGCTTGCCTCATATTTGCTCTTTTGAATAGACAACCTCCACTAAGAAATCTGTATTTCTTACATTGTATAGTCCGTTCAGTGAAGTTTTAAGAGATGCTTCATGTGCACAAACTTTCTCAGGGCCAAATCCTGAGCTCTTTGTTCACTTCTTTCCCATTTTGATTCCTATGTGCCTTGGCAGAAGTTTGTTTTTTGTAGATTTCTGCTATTTAACTGTCACTTTTTGTCCACTGAAAACTCAGCCACACTCAGAAGGCAAGACAGGGTCTTACTTTGCAATGCATCACCTACATGTCATGAAATCTCTGCTAGCAAAGATATGCAAGCATTATTGTTGTGTAAACATTATTGGTCATTTACTCAAGAAGATACTTCACTCATGCTGACACTAAATGGGAAAAAGGGAGATATCCAGGAGCAGTTGTTAGCAATCTGTGTTTACTGACTGTCTGATTAACTGATAAGGAGTAAAGATTTTTATTAATGATACAATAGAGAGGAACTGACTCACTTGTCCTGAAAAGGGTTGGTTTTGCAGGGCTAAAAATGATAAACTTTTTATTTCTGACACAGGCTGCAATGGTCCACAATACACAAGACCAGATCTGCTGAGTAAGAAGGTACCAGTTTTATAATATTACTTTCAGAAAAAGACATACATCAGTCTTAACTGTTAAACAAGCTCACTGCTTTTCTTACAACAGAAAGATCAAAAATGCATGATAGGAAATCTAACTGACTCATCCTACTTGGACTGAATGTAGGGCTACTTGCTTCTTACTGGCTATATGGAAGATAACACAAGTGCAGGAAAACCTCAGATTTCAATACCCTCATGGGGTGGTGAATGATGGGTTATGGCTACTAGCAAAGAGACACTGGAGTTGTCATTACTGCAGGTAGGAAGCACAAAAGTGAATGCCAACTGCATGGCCAGATGTTACACCCAGCCATTGAAGGCACTTTGCACTACTTTATAAGCTGACCTCCAGAAATTAAGACAGAAATTCAACAGCTTGAATATCTGTTTGCTTTTGCAATTAAAGCACTCTTTATTTTTCTGCTCAAGACAGAAGGGGACGCAGGAATGCCAGCACCTGCTGTGTAGGTATAAGAAGTGGCCAGCCTGTGGTGGTATGTTTCTGCTGGGTGACAACATGGGGCTATTGGATGCTGAGGTCTCTGCTTGCACTGTAACACAGTCCATGAGAGCAGTCATTCCTGGGTTTGTCTCAAATGGATTATCTGGTGACAGTCAGCAATTCCTTGGTACTACTGACCAGTTGTCTAAACAAACTTTCCAGCAAGAGTTCTTCAAGGAGGATTTTCCTCATGTCATGTTGAAAATCAGTCCGTTCAGTGAGAACATCCATTTAGGCTAGAAGACACCATTCTTGAACTATTTTAATCAGAGTAAGGAATTTTCCCTCATCCAAAGTGAATGGGGTTTTTTTCATTATCATCTAAATCAGATCCCAGTTTAGAAAACAGCACATATTTTCACAGTACATTTCTCTGCATGCCCTGAGTTTTAACTCTCTAAGACATGCACTAAAAGCTATCTATATCATAAATTATGCTACAAAACCTAGCTACTTGCTGTAATTACAGGATTTAGTTAATAGCAGTAATTTGTAACTGCTCAAAGTTACGAATAACTCAATAATTTCAGAGTAGTTCATTGCCTGGACCTGGAGGAACCTCCTTATTTGAATCGTAATAGGTATTTTTAAAGTAATCTCAAGTCATCTCTTGCTAGCAACTTAGGAAAAATGTTAAATGGAAGAGTAGAGAGTTCAGAGATTCATGTGAGAATAGCAAAGATGTGACTGTGTTGGGGTTCCAGAAAAAAAAAACAGAAATCTCACACCAAAAGTCTTAAATAACTTAGGGACAAATGACATTTTTGTCATTTTTTGGTTTTGACCAAAAACATTATAATTTGCATGGGTCACATTAGGAATATACAACTGATTTCATGCAAGTGAACATAGTCAGGAGTCTGAATCTGAAATCTGTCTCCAGCAAGTAATGTGCACCTTCCTATGTGATAATTGTACAACTTGAGGCCATCTACAAAATGCAAACAGAATAATTAATATCTCCCTCATAACATAAAATGGTGGGATGGACTAATGTTGTTTGATCTCCTTGAGTCCTCTCCTTGTAATAAGCTCTTATTTTGTATTGCATTATGCATAGTATATTCACTCACGCCTCACTGTTGCACAGTTTCCTACCAACACGATGAAAATACAGGCCCCCTTTTACATGAACCCACACCACAGATTGCCAGAAGTAGCTTACATCTAACCTGAGGCCAATAGCTGCTGGGAAGTAATTAGTTGTAGTGCTGCTATAATCCCTTAGTAAATGTAAGCGCAACTCCTATTTGTGCTGAAGGTGAAATGTTTGTGGTAACAAATGCCCTTTTCTCTGAATAAAAATGTATTTACTTTTAATCAATCAGGGACTCATTATCAGCATTGTCTTCATCTCCCTAAACCTTGGTCTTCTGTGTATGATTTTAGTGTTGGG